TAATATACATATTATGAGGCGTTATGAGGCGTTTGAGAGAGAATGTTCGTCGCAAAAGATCGGATTTGTGGCGGAACAACAGTGTTTTATTTAAAATTTCCGGGTACTTTTTTGACAGAATTTATGATATGTTATATGCCAATGTCGATAGAAATAATCTTTCAATCTGACTAACACTAAACAATACTTGATAGCTTTCTTTGCCTAAAATGATGTATAAATAATTCGAAACTTCCGGTCTTGATTATTTTGGGTATATTTCTCAGAGAGAAAGAGAGAGCGCGCGAGCGAGAGAGAAATATATATATAGAGAGAGGTATATAGAACAATATGACCGCACCCAATCGCACAATCGAACAGCTAATTATTAGGCTCGCTCATGGAGTCAAAAGAGTATATGGGTTTGTCTGCAGTTTTCGTATTGCTGTTTGCACTTTGTTATATACATATACATAAATCATTCCTCCGAATGGCCGTGGCGATAAGAAGAAAACTATAATGTATTTCAGCCGCAATTGTTTCTAATCTTGCAGGGGAATCAGCTCCTTTATAGCTCCACTGAGATGATCCATCCATTGGCTTTGAAGCGAAAGAGCATTGTGTAGTCGGTTACACTTAAGTACAATAATCGAACTTTTTGTGCGCACCGATAGAAACACATACATATATATAGAAGCCCAATATTTTTCGGCCAAAAAGTTATAAACTTCATTGGCCGCGCAATGCCAACGATGGATGGTAAGCTTAAGTGGYTCGCTCTGCTGGCATCGATGCAGCTTGTCCTGTTGGGCACGGCTGAAGGACAGAGGACATTCAATCGCTGTACTCTTGCTCTTGAATTGGATAGACTGAACGTTGCACGGCAAGAAATACCCAGATGGGTTTTTATCGCACAGGAGGTGAGCAGCTATCGGGCTAACGTGGTTAGTTCAAAAGATATCAACGGCGTTCAGCACTACGGAATCTTTCAAATTGGTGAACAATATTGGTGCAAGTCTGCAAAGGGAACTAAAAATATCTGCAAGGTGGAGTGCTCTGAACTGATAAAGGACGACATTCAACCCTCGCTCGACTGCGCAAGGATAATACTTGGGGAACATGGCTGGAGTGCCTGGGTAGAGGGAGAAGTTGATGTGGACGATTGCTTCGAGACAAGTGCCCAAGGTAGAAACGCAGCTGCACCTGCACCTGCAAGAACAGATGGAGTTGGACCAAGAGGAGGAACTAAAGCTGAAACAGAAAATGAAACAAAATGTAACAAAAGAATYCGAGATTTTCGATAATTTCAAAAAGTACTACTAACAATTAATAATAAAAAATGTATGTGTTACTACATTTCATTGGGATTATGAAGATTTGTCTTGGAGATCTTGGAGATGTCGAGTGATTGCATAACTATATAATATTAATACAGGATATTACTAATATTATATATTATATGTCAATATCGCTTGCATGTGCCTAGAGTAATCAATAGATATCATCTTTACGGTTATAATCTTCCATGAACTAATATTTATAGAAATGACCAAACTCGAGACTATTTCCAGTCGCGATTATTTTGGGTGTATTTCGGAGAGGGAGATATATATATATATATATATAAGATAGGACAATATGACCACACCCAATCGCACAATCGAACAGCTAATCATTAAGCTCGCTCATGGAGTGTAAAGAGTATATACATAGGTTTGTCTGCAGTTTTCGTATATATCCTTTCTCCAAATGGGCGTGGCGATAAGGAGAAAACTATAATGTATTTCAGCCGCAATTGTTTCTAATCTTGCAGGGGAATCAGCTCCTTTATAGCTGCACAGAGATTATCCATCATTGCATTGGCTTTGAAGCGAAAGAGCATTGTGTAGTCGGTGACGCTAAACTGCAATATTCGACAGCTGCCTACGGCCATGTTGCACAATTCAAGTTCTAGCTTGTCTACAACGTACATATGAATATATAAGCATATGTATATGCATATATATAGGCAAGTGTTTAATTTCTGGGCTGGGCCCATCGACCATCCATAGACTCATCTGCAGGGAAGCAGATTCACTTACTCTGGGTAACGAACAGACTGGCGCTTAGATCGCTGTTTGTGCCGGCGCTGCTCCGTCGTCGTCCCTGGTGCTCCACGTTGAGGATGTGGCGACTGCGCACTGGCACACCCGTGGCACGCACTACATGCAACGAGACAGTGAACTGTTGCAGCTGTTGATTCGGGGCACACGTCGGCTGGGGCTGCCACAGGGGCGGCTCACGGCTGGGACTGTTGGCCGCTTGGCGAACAAAAATGGAGCAGAGTGCACGCCAAATTGTTGACCAGCCCATTGTATGCTCTGTGGGGGAGCCATCGCTCCACAGCTGGAGCAGCGGCAATGGTGTTTGAAGCAGCTTGGCCCGTTGTGCGCACTGGTTCATTATGGTCTCGTATAGCAGGTGAAGAAACTTGCGGCCTCGATGCTTGTGCAGATCGATTGGATGCCAAATGGTGCCCGGATCTAGCAATTGGCCAACATTCGCATTGGGTCCGTGCTCCTCCAGCTCAACGATTTCATGCGCCAAAGCAGGCACAAAACTCAGCTGTTTGGTGTGAAAATTGCGCTGCTGATGGCGCGAATAGAGCAGCTGAAATCGCCTGTTCTGGAACAGTTCCTCGATGCTGCACAACAGCAACTGCTGCTCGGCAAAGATGAGCGGCGCATGCCGTGTCCCTGCATCGCTGCCTCCGGCCGCAGACGCGGACAAACTTTTCGCCAGCAACGTTTGCCTCAGTGCCGGCGGCAGCGGCTGCACATCGTCCAGCTCATTGCTGCTGCTGCCGCCATCAGGACAATAGTAATCAATGTGCACATAGAGATCGCCGGCCAATTTCGGGCGCGTTGCCGATGATGATGTCCGCGATGATGTCACCTCGAAGCTCAGTTTCTCCTCCGATCGGCCCCTTTGAGTCGCCTGCAACGGAGTGTTTATCAGTGCCAATCGGCGACTGTGCGCAGTTATTGTCGATTTCTCATACAGCTATATTTATGCATAGAGAAAGGGGGGGAGAGAGAAAGGGAGAGCTTAATCAGTTTGTGCATTTGTTAAAAAAAAAAAAAAAAAAAAAAATTTGGCATTGCCAGCGGTTTCTGATACACACACATAGATACACATATGTCCTATATATACATATAATAATAATCATAAATGGCTATGATATGGCGTAATATATACTATATATGCTGAGTCAACCGTAATCTCTTCTTTTTATACCCCATTATAGCCCATTGAAAATGGGAAATCAGTGTATAATGGTCCGTCGGTCTGTCTGTCCGTATGAGCAAGCCGATCTCATACTCGTGTATACCATAGGCAATACAAGTTTATCTTATTTTTTCGATAGCTCATTCGAATAACTATTCGAATATCAGCTTGGGGGGTTCAGGGTATCTCCTAGTCGAGCAGTCTCGACTGGAGCCTTGTTACTTGTTTTATATAAATTAGAGATGTTGATGATAGGAGCTGATTCTTCGCCTGCCACGCCTCAGAAAAGAACATGACATTCTGAATTCCCATTTGCAATCACTTTAAGGGCAAATATATACATACATATATATTTATGGGAAGCACTTGATAGTGATTACGATTGCCATAAACCAGAGATTAATAGAGAAATTCGCAGTCGGACAGTAGCCACTGCGCGTACTGCGCTATCCATAGATAGCACAATTTACAATGCAATTGTAACTTTTATACTCATTCACGAAAGTGAAATGAGTATATTGGTTTTGTGCAATGTCCATCTTGCTACCCGTCCGCCTGCCCAGCGTGAAATTCGGAAGAATATGTATGTATATAGTCCGTGTAAAGAGATTTTCTCGTAGTATCCAAGGTTTGACGGATATATTTACGCTTAATAGGGGCGTGGCAAGTAACTGCATCTGTTATGATTTACAGAAAAATAATTGATATACATATGTACATATACCAATTGTGGGCGTGGCAAGTCGGAAAATGGGCAGTGAATGAGTATTCTGCATTATTCATAAAAAGGTGATTACAATAACTAAATAAACTTACCCAAATATTGAGCTCTTTTGGATTGGAGCGATTTAGCAGCACGCCTATTGTCTCATTCATGTCCACATGCAGATCCTGTTCCAGGCGATATGTGCGCGACTGTGCCACAAACTGGCTGTCCAGGTAGATCTTCAGGTAGTAGTTGCGATCCAAGCTCAGCTGATTACCGTTTACTGCTGCTGCTGCTGCTGCCGTCGCCTTGGGATCATTGGGCATTGTTTCATCAGCTGGCAGACGCTGCACAAAAACTTCCGGCTCCTCTGGATCCTGAAAGGCTCGCTCATACTCTGCCCTCAGGGACTCCATGATTTCCGTAAATCGAGGCTTACGCGGCGGTTTCGTATGCGCCGCTGTCGACTGCTCGCTGTCATTCCAAATGCGCCGCTGCTGATAGTACAGCTCCAGATGCTCGCGATACACCTCGGCCAGATCTGTCTCGAAACGCTGTTTCCACGCCGAGCAGGAGACGTCCAGATCAGCAGGCGGCACCAGCCGCAGGCTCAGGCTGAAGCGTGTGCAGCGAAACTGTTGCCGCTTGCGCAGCTCCTTCAATTTGGCCCATTCGGCGAGCAGACGCTGCAGCAGCACACGCTGCGCCCTGGACTCGGCATAGTAGCGTCTGCGCAGCTGCTGCGTCAATTGCAATTGCCGCTGAACGTGCACCGCTAGCAGCGATGGCTGCTGCTCCTTCAGGTGCTGCTGCTTGCTGGCATCGATTAGGCGGGCAGCCACATTGCGAGCGATTTGTAACTCTTCGCGCAGTTTATTGCAAATCTGACTGTTCACATTGTATGCGTAGAGATCGTAGAGATCCTCCAGTTGCTGCGCCAGCCGATGCTCCTCCAGCAGCTGTGGATGTTCGCTGAAGCGCAACTGTTTCAGGCACAGCTTCAGGCAACGACTCATGGGCAGTCCGTGGAAGGTAGCCAACGGCACAGGTGCCAGGAAGACGCCTTTAAACTGCCTCGAGCAATTGCTGTGGTAGAGCGTGGTATCGATGGTGTAACGGCCCGGTTCACAGTCTGAAAGCTGCGCAATAATTCCGGCACTTAGTTTGGCGGTCGTTTTACTATATCTGGCCTCCTCCTGAAACCGATTCAGCATGCGTATCTGCTGGGGCTTCAGTTGGGGCTCGCATTCACTTAGCTGTAGTGGCAAATGCAGCCGCTCACTGGGCGAATACAACAAAGTGGAGTCATAATAATGACGCTGTCGCTGCAGCTTACCGGACACAAGGGGTGGTTCAGCGAGTTCAATTTGTAAGAAGCTGGCCGCAGTGTATTGTGCAGGTGTGTCATCATTTGGAAGTTCCGTTTTGCCAGTTGTGGCACCCACAGAATCGGTCGCTTTGGCATAGTGAAAAAACTGCAAACTGCGGGCTTCCAAATCCTCATCTACTGTTTGTTGTGCGGCGACCTTTTCACTTTGCCACAGCAACTGTTGAACTTCCTTTTCAGACTTGCGATATGCACGTGTTGTTTGTGTTTTCATTTTTTTCTTGCTGCGCTTAGTTTTTATTGAATTTGCTTCTGGCTCCATTTCGACTTACATAGGTTTGACAATAAATGAAAATAACCGTTTGTTTGGATTTTGCACAGGGTGGCATCGTTGCCTAGGTAGCCTGATTTTATCGGCTTTCGATATTTCGAATACGACAGCTTATCGATTATTTAGAAAAAATACCAACTAGAATATATATTTAAAATAAACGAAAAAATGAATCGTTAATAAGATAATTAAGCAAACAGATAAATGAAAGTAATAGCATGTCAAACATAATATGATAACCCATATCTTATCTGTATTAACAAAGAGCTTTATATAAATTTTATATAATTACTGTCAGGTAATATACCTACTGAATGAATATACATATGAATGCAAATCAATTGTTAACTGGGTTTTAATTTCTTTCAGTTTGGCACTTTGCCCCACAGCCCTCCCTCATTAAAAACGTTCAATGCCTTTTCGTTTTCCTTTTCTTTTTGCTGTTCACATACAAATACAATGCAAATTTACTTTTAATAGTTAATAATGTGGCTTCGGTCATGTTTTCTTATTTTTCTCGTATTTGTTTTTCGTGTTTTGTATATCAAGTTACAGTTGTTCGTGAGCTTGACTTTAGTTTATATAGATTTATGTGTGACGTTACTTTTGTGCTTAAGGATCGAATTTTAATGGATATTTGAATATATTGTGTGCATATGTATGTAACGCAAGCTAGTTAAAATATGTTTACGCTTATTTTGTAATATTAAAGCGCGACGTGGTTTTAAAGAATGGCGTCCCGATAAATAGAGACCTTTCGGGACGTCGTCACGTTGCGTTGCTCAAGCCTTAAGACACCAGCTTTAAAAAATTGTGAAAACGGAGGGGGGATGTGGTCGCGATTGATTTGGGGGTCGTTTACTCTAGCAGGGTTACTTCTTCCTTGACTAAAAATTCAACAACTTCCTCATCAACTTCATCGGTCTCCAAATTATCCGTATCCACATCTGTAAAATGGAAATGATTAAATTACAAATAAAATTGATTGTAGTCTAAACTTCAACTTACGCCCTCGGAGCATGATGCGACGGCTCTTTTGATCCTTCCATTCCGCAATGCGCTTGTTGCGGTACTCCATGAAGGTCTCTCGCAGCTGTGCGCGCTTTTCGAGCAACTCCTTGGAGGCACGGGTCAAGCGCAGACGATCCTTCTGTTCAAATATAGGATAATATTTCTTCAAATTTTTCTTGATCTCCTTCTGCTTCTCTTCGCTAAGTAGCGTCGGTGGTCGCGGGCGCCAAAGGAACTGCACAAAGTTCTTCAAAATGGTGCGCCTGATGATGCGACCCTGGAAGGTATACATATTAAAGCCGGTATCCTCTTTCACCTTCCACGATGAGACGCCAGTGACGACATAACGACCAGTTGGATCCCATTCCACCTCCGATGCACGGAAGTGATCCGGCGATGCACTGATGATGTAGTCATTCGTGGTATCAACGAACTCAAAGGTGCCCATGGTCAGATTGGCCATGACGATGAATTGGCCACGTGGCGACCAGAACAGATGAGTGCAGGACTTCTTCTCCAGCCGCTTCACAAGGCTGGGCTTTACTCCCTTATTCACCTCGTAGAAGCTAACATTGGCGGAGTTGGGCTCGCCGTGTATAATGGAAAACTTGTTGCCAATAGGCTCCCAGGCAAAAGCAAGAATCAGCTCACGTATTTCCACCGAATCCACGGGTATTTCCTTTTCGCGCATGTGGAATATCTCGAAATTGTAGAACATGCCCAGAAACTTGACGTCCAGCTCCTTCTTATCCTTCTTCAGCTTGGAGTAGCGATCGACCTTAACACACAGATAATCGCCAGACTTTTGCCAATGAAGCTTACAGTCGGCCACATGGAAAAGATTCTTGTTGCGAATCTCCCGCTTCTTGGGGATCTCCATCAGGGTGACACGTGCGGGTATTTGATTCTGCTCTTCCACCCAGTAAGCGATGACATTGTCCGTAGGCGACCACGAGAAGCCGCGTATGCCCGCTATCTTGATGGACTTCAAGTCAAGCAAGTAAAATGATGGCGTCTCGTAGATGTGAATCGAATTCTCGCCCATGCGTGCCACAAATTTGTCATCGTGCGACCAGCGGAACATTGACAACACAGACATGCCATCGCCCACAAACGAACGCTTCTCAGCCCCAGTGCGTATATCCCAAATGATGATCTTTTGACCCGTTGGTGTTGGGCCATAGGTTACCAAATAATTCTCACATGGCGAGAATTCGACGAATTGGGTGCCAGGATGGGGAAACTTTTGAATTTTCTGGAAGCTGCTGCCACCCCAAATGGCGACTCCGGGTTTGTGGAAGGTGACCACATAGGTGCCCAGAGGCGACCACTTCACAAACGTGTCCGTAAAACGTTCACGTGTCTCCAGCTCATTGGGTTCGGGCAGAGTGTTCTGCCAGAAGCCAACCTGCACGCAATTCGGTGCTGTCTCAGCCGCTACGCAGTACTGATCATAGGCATCGGGATCGTTTATAAAATTATACAGATCACTCTGTACCTTAAAGGGTTGTACAGTCGGCGGCTCCCACTTCTCCGGTATATTTTCATACCTATAAAGTAAAACTTGTTATAGTTTTTGTTTTTAATTAGCTATTTGTCAACTTACTTCTGGAAGTCTGTAAACAAATTTACGGCAAAAGTATAATTCTTGTCCAGGCGATGGTTGTTTAATTTCTTGACTGCATCCTCAGCCTGACTGGCGGTCTTGAATTCCATGAAGGCATAGCCTTTAGTCTTGCCCTCCTCATCCACCGGATAGACAACGTTAACGATTTCACCGCACTGCGAGAACAGCTTGTTGATAACCGATTTAAGCTTTTCCAGGCGGCTTGGCTCTACTTTCGGCATATTATCCACTACAACGACACTTTCAACACCATCGGCTTCGGATGGGCGTTGGGCCAGCATATCTCCCAATAAATCTGTCATATAATAAACATTATTGCATTTCTCATAGAAAATAATGCACTCTTTGAGGTTATGTTTGTCATCTCTTTTTGCAATTGTCGGCAATGGCTTGTAGCGCGTGTGCTGCGCTGGCAACCATCAAACTTACCTTCATCGCTAATGTTGTCCACGTAACCGGGCGGATCATCGAAATTGGGCTCCTCATTGTAGTCGCTGTCGTTTGCGTCCGCGCCCGAATGCTCCTCACTTTTCTTTTTAGCCATTTTCAGCGTTTTATTTGCGAATTATATACGGCAGCCGATTTCCCGCAGTCATCAAACACACACACGCACATAAAAAAGGAAATGTTAATGTTAGATATGAGCGATAGTTACTTACCTGCTACTTGTAACAAGTATAACATTGTATCGATAAATTTGTGTACGTAGTTACAAATTAACAGCGAAAACAATAACAGTTACTTAATCGAAATCAAAAATCAAGCTTGCAAGCTATTGAGAAAACACTGAAATCCTATCAACTGTATTATATTAAATTATATTGTAAGCGCCAAACAAAACTAAATCCCGCTTTTTTTTAAATTATTGAATAAAATAACAATTTAAAAATATTTTCGATAACGCAGAAGTAATGGGATCATTAAAATTATGAATATTTCGATATACCCAACATCGATGCATTTCAAAAGCCTTTTAAATGTTGTTATTCCTTGCCATATACACAAATTGTTATGCCAAAAACTATAACATATAGCATTGTCTTTGAGCATATGAACTTTTTGGTTTCACAAATTGCGTCGATAAGTTTTTGATTAAATATTCTTTGCTGTTATTAACAGTTTGGAAAATGTAATGTTGTTGTCCAAGTTATGTTAAGTAACATATCTGTTTGGAAATTCATTCTTTTTTTCCAAACGAAGAAGTAGTAGGTGTATAATCTGCACAAATGTAATAAAAATGAAGACAAAAATCAAATATATAATTTAAGTGAGCCCATTGCAATAAAAAAAAAAAGAAGCCATAACAGATAGCTAATCAAAACGCAAATACAAAATTTCAATGCCATACGCAGTTGCCACCTGAGATCAGAATTGCTTTTGTCTCCAAAGAGACAGGTTGTAAAAAAAGTGCAAAGAATCAAATAAATTGCCACAAAGTAATTGGTGAAATGTGTGTGCCATTGCAGAAACGTGATAAACGGCATAAAATGCGAAAAGCTGTTATCCAATAGAGAAAAATTCCGATACACCATGTCGCCCCATCTCTGCTCCGTACGCATCCGCGCCCGCACCTGCCACCTCCTTCACGGTCGTTATGCCTGTGCGCTAAGTAAAAAATCCAACATATACTAACCTAAATTCGTAGTGCAAAAACGAAAGGAAAAGGAAACGAAGTAATTAAATAAAATGAAACAAAAGCAGCCGAAATGCCATAACAAACTGTTAACAATACCAAAATGTTACAAAATATGTATTTGTTATGTTATTCCAAGTGATATACTTGAATGTGAATATTATATATGTATGTCAAAAGCTGCAGGATAGGCAATAAAAAGAATATATGTTATATATATA